TCTCGCTCCCTTCACGTATGTACACACCTCGCTCCAAATCCAGGTCTTCCGCGCTAAACCACATACAGCGTTCGTATTCCATCTCCAACTTCTTGAGTGGTGTCCAGGGCGCTGGTTCTGGGGAAGTCTCTGAAATATCCTGTTCAGTGTGTACCTCCGCGATCGTTTGGCCGCCCTGGACCCCCTCGAATCCAGTAGTCCATTCTAGAGGCACATCCACAAGGTATCACTTCGGTCATCCTCCAGGGTGTCCCCATCACCAGGATCACATCCTGGACTGTCTAGTCGACTTTCGCTGACTTGTGTGGAGGCATCCATCCTGGTTGTCACCGGGGGACTTTCTTCTGTCTGAGTATCCGTATCCACCAACTCTCCACGATTCAACACCTCGAAACGCGGGGGGTCTTGCAACTGCGCCATTCTGACTTCAGCGGACCCTGGTTGGAGCCTTAGCATGATCTTTGTTGGCCATTGATATTCCATCTTCGGCACACACGGGGGTTCTCGGGCTCTCAGCTTCTTTCAGCCCTGAGTCTGTCTTGTTCTGACTGGGCGTGCTCCAGGATCAGGGTCTGCCATTCACGATAAGCTCGCGTTCCAGGGCGGACGAAACACCCGGTCTGCGGAAACGACCCATACTGCACGATCCTGGCTAGCGGTTTTCTCATATCGATCCAGACACCGTGTTTCGACACATTCACGACTTTGATCGCCACTGGCCAGGATCTAGCCTGACACACAATCCACCCACCTGTCACCTCGTCCAGCCCAGACAACTTCTCGTTCTGGATTCGTATGTCCGTATTGGATACGCACTACTGCGTGCTCTCCGGGCATGATATACAAATTTTCTGGAGACGTGACGGGCAAGTCCACACTCTGGTGTACTCTGACTTTTTCATCAATTTTCATCGTACATCAGGATAGACCCTTCATCTGGGAGTTGTACCAAGCCTTCTCGAACACAGACTCTCACTCCTGCACGAAACATAAAACCATGCCCAGGAGCACATCTACTCCTTCGCCGATGTTGGCCACCCACAATTCTATGATGTAGACCACCCTGGATCCCAGGGTAATCTTGACCTCTGCGCTTTCCGTGATCTGGGTAGGGACACCCCCTAATCCAGACACCTTAACTTGATTATGTCGATTGAGCTTGAGCTTGAGTTTACGCGCTAAATCCAGGCTAAGCATGCTCAATGACGCTCCGGTGTCCAGGAGTATCCGAGTTCTTACACCATTCACGACACCATGAACCGTAGCAATCTTACGCTTTTCCTTCCCTGGTTGGTGAGTAGTCCACCACCCATAACGTTCTCCATCCCGAAGCCGGAATACCACAGGGAATTCTGGATAAGTGCCTCCTGAATGAAGAATCCAGAAGGGCCTAATCCTGAACTCATGGGATCTTGAAACATAGAAGTCATGCATTGTTGGTTATCTCGGTTCTTGGTTCTCACCTCAGGGCCGACATATACTAAGGCGCACAATCCTGGGGGTTTTACAATGACCGTCGCGTACTGGATCCCCATCCAGCGGGCTTAGTGGTTTAACGACACATCGCCAGGATCGGCCTTGACGGCTAGGCGTCGGTCCAGCATCGGAGTGGGTAAGCCTTTTACGATGACCTGACGGGCTAGTTGTGCAATATACTCAAGCATTTCCCAATCTTCACAGCGACCATCACGGAACTTACCACACTACTTGCACGGTAAGGTCTTGCATTAGGATGTCCCGTGCGATGACAATTTTCACAGACTAGGTCTGCCCAGCAATTCTCAGCCCGGTGTCCGATTCCGTTGCAGTTGTCACAACGCATGTCCTGGTCAGGGTTGTCGTACCTTAGCGATGGCGATCCTGGGTGGCCGTAACTCTGGCGGGCTTTACCCTGGTGTGCCATATTCCCAGGCTTATTCCATCCTGAATTTCTCCATGACCTTGAGCACATGCTGTGTTAGCTCCTCCATAGTCATACCCAGCCCTTGATTTTCAGGAGGTGCCTCATGAGACTCGACACTTTCCTGGGCCGGGGAGATCTCCAGCGTTTCCTCTTCGAAATCACATGTTGTTCGTCAGAGTCAGACTCGTCGCCGCTCTGGGTGACATACGCTCGTCCTGTTATTTGGTCCTGAGTCGCCCCTGACGGAGGTTGTCCGCCCTGGAGTATGGTGGACGAACTGCTTTGACGGTCATCGTCCCAGTCATCTTCCTGCTGCTTCAGCTCATATTCCAGATCATCCATGCTCTTGAATCGCTGACTCTTTAGGATGCTCTTCAGCTGTGAATCTGCCAGTCGGTGTGTGAACCTCTTGACATGCTGTTCACGACGTCGCTCTGACTTCTTGTAGCGAATGTCTTGCACGGTCTGCCGCAGCATTCAGGCGATATAAGAAATCCAGGGGGTCTCTGCCTTGCGTTGCTTCATGGTGTAATACTTCTCTGAGTCGGACATCTTGGATTTACAGTACTTTCCCTTGAACTCCTTGGAGAACCTCGTCCAGTCGCACAGCACATACGGTGATAATTGTGAAAACCAGTTCCTTGCCGAGGAGAATAGCTTCAGGCGGAGTTCGTAGACTTTCATCTTGTCGCTCCATCCGCCCTGGAAGGCCAACGTCTGAAAACGCTCCCACCAACGAGTGCGTTCTGAGAGAAGCTTTCTCGTCGAAATCCTCCAGCGAACTCGCAGTCACAAATGGTCGGATAGTCATCGTGGTGGTGCCGCGCGGGGTGGCCATGGGGACCATCATATCGCTAAGTGGCTCACAAAAAGAACTGTCCGAGACATCAGAGCTGGAATCGCTGTCATCATCTTCTGAAGTTGGATCCGAGTCGGATGGGTATCCACCACGACGAACCTTCCTGGGTGCACGCGCCTTGGGCGTGGCCTTCTTGGTCTTCACCTTGGCGTCATCCGACAACTTGGGCGCAGGGGCCTTCGTCGCTCCTGCCTCAGCTTTCACCGCCATAGGCGCCGTGGTCGTAGGTTTCGTCCTCTGTTCTGCCGCATTCAAACTCTGGGTGGTAGCCTGCAGTTGTGCGGCTAGGAGGGCGTCCGCGCGGGCGTCCGCGGCCTACTTGTCAGCGGACTTCTCCTTCTTGACAGCGACATTGCTTGCATCCTGACCCTTTGCGGCTCGCTGGAAGTTCGCAATTCCCGATTCGGTCTTGATCTGAGACACTGCATCTGGGACAGGGGTCACTGTCGCATGTTGAACCTGGGCGGAGGTTGCACGAAGGTCGCGCAACTGACTGGCTTGAAATTTCTGGATGTTCTTCGCCGCTTCCCGTTCTCGATCAGCTTCCATCTCGCGCATTTGCTGCTGGAGGATCGCTATCTGCATATTCATGTTCTTCTAAACGTCGTCCACCCAGCGCGCGCGCTCAGACTCATTCTCCATCCGTTGGATCCTGAGACGTTCAGCAAAGTCCGCCTCGGTCTGAA